ACCCAGATTCAAGCACAGGCAAAGCAAGAGATTCCTGCCTTAGCACCAGCAAAGAGATCCCTGCAATCACCTCTGATCAGCCACCCAACTCCCCCTCAGTCTGTGGGCCAACAGCTCAGAAAGCAGCTGACCCCCCAGGGGCTGCACCAGGACTGGGGCCGGACCATGCTTCTTTCTCACCATGGTCTGAGAGACCTTTCCTACTGACCTAGGTTGTCTTTGGCATTTGTGGGTTGAACCACGAACCACCACAGCTCCCCTTGATTCAGTCCCCTGAGGCCTGCTCCAGGTTCCCTGAGGTCCGGTCTTTGCCTGTGTGGCCCACACTAAACTGTGTTCCTCTCCCATCCTGGTGCAGTAGACATTTCCAATCAACCATCCAGGTTGTCATGGTCTGAAATTTGTTTCATTCTGTCTTTTTGAGAGTTGTGCTGCTCTAGAATTTGTTTAGAGCCATTTTTTACAGGTATTTGGAGGGATTTGGGGGAGACCTCAAACAAATCACTCCGTCATCTTGGCTCTGCCCCCCGCACCCTCCAGGAGAAAATTTAAAACTCCAAAGGTTCTGGAAGTGAATGCTGAAAACTAAAAATAAATTAGTTAATTAAAAAAGAATAAACAAATAAAAATACTATGCTCCAATTTATACTATATTAACAATATTGTAAAAATGAACAATTTTGAAAGACCTAAAAACTCTGATCAATGCAGTGATCGACCACAATTCCAGGGTACCAATAATAAAGAATGTTATTCATCTCCTAATAGAGAGATAATAGACTAAATATGCAGAATGGGATACATTTTTGGAAATGGCCAACATAGGAATTTGCTTTGCTTGACTACACCGAATTTTTTTCTCTCTTTTTTTTCTTTTTTTTTTTCGCTTTTTGGTGTGGCAATCAGGGTTAAGTGACTTACCCAGGGTCACACAGCTAATAAGTGTCAAGTGTCTGAGTCTGAATTTGAACTCAGGTCCTCCTGACTCCATAACATCTATTTTTTAGAAGGTTTTTCTTTTTCTTTTCAGGGGAGGTAGAAAGGGGGGTGAAAAAGCTTGATAATTGGAAAAATACTACAAATAAAATTTTAAAAATCTATGCTCCTTCTCCTCTCTCCCCCCCCTTTTGTAAGAGAGAGAGGGATCTATACTTATGATTTCATCAGGCAGAAAAATCCCCAAGAGGAAACTTCCTATAGCCAGGAGTGGGGAACCTGCAGCCTCAAGGTCATAGGCTCCCCACCCCTGTGACTTACACCAACAGAGGTAATGTAGGCTGGTAACCATTTCATAGCTTATAGTCTTCGTGCTGCCTAGGACACTGAGATTTTAACTGATTTACAAAGTCACAGTGTACTTCTGAGGCAGGAGCTGCACCCAAGTCTTACTGACTCTCTGAGTAGAGCTCCATATCCACTAAGCCACATTGCTTTCCTTGTCATTCTATCAATAGTAGAAGTGGTAGAAATAATTTAGAATATTCCCTGAAGAAAAGATGCATTGTACCAGTCTCATAGCTTCAGAGATCTGCCTATAAAGGTAAAAGAGATCAGTGATTGCTCTAGGAGAACAATATGAGAAAAAAAAGGAAAGAATATATATAAAGATAAAGAATCTGTGGTTTAATAGAAGCAAAGTACTGATTTAGAGCTAGAAGCACCCTTTAATAACACCAAGATCAAAGGTTTGGAATTCAAACGAATGTTACTGTCTGGGAAAGAAAAGATCTAAGAAAGTGGTCAAATTTTATCAAAAAGGAAAGGCAAATAGCTGACAAAACTGTGTCTCCGGTCATATGATTTCTTTTAATTTCTTTATCAGGATATTTAAAAAAAAACTTGGAACCATAAATGAAAGAACCTTAATTTTCTCTCTGTTCCCCCCTAAACCATTTTCCACTGTCAGAGGCAGTTTGTAAACAATTTGACCATCTAAAACAAAACTGCATATGAAACACCTTGGATGAAAAGAACCTATCAACATTACAGAAGGATTATTCTGTAGAGCTACATATCACTCTCTTAAATAATAAATATTTGGAGCAAATTACAGTGGATAAAAGACAAAAACACCATTAATCTAATTCTAACACTTGGACAAGAACATTCATTTATATTTAAGCCAAAATCCTAAGCAAAGATCCTTAACATACCAATGAGGTTATTCTAGGTCTACAAAAATTTATCACATTAATATCATTATTATTAATATCATTAAACAATTTATTATTTATCTGAGTACCACTGTCTTAAAGTTACTTTTTACTTGCATTTCAAAGTCCCTGTCGTTCAAGATGCAGCACAAACACCTTCCTCTGCACAAAGCTTTTCCTGATTTGCTCGACTGCCAGTGCTCTTCTTCCCAAATTATCGTTTACTTCACTGCTTTGTATGTATTTGTATTTATTAACTTTATATTTATGCTGCATATACAAAAGTGTGTATACTTACGGCTTCTCCCATTTGAATGTAAACTCATTTTGACTAGGATTGTTTCACTCTTTGTATTTGTATCTCTAGTGACCAACAATACTGTCACGTACATGTTGTGTGCTTAATAAATAACTGTTGATTAATTCTACAGAAATTTATTTTCAGCTTATTCATAAGCTTTCTCTTTAAGTCAGACATCTGCCATATAGAGTGGCTTTGATCAACATTTTCTCAAAATAATATTTATTAACAAACAACACACACATCCAAGTCACTCTGCAGTGTCATCAAACCTGTTTGTAATGTTATTTAACTGTACACTAACATTTTTTCTGTGGACTTCCTCTACCCTGGCCCATATCATAGTTCTGACCTATCATTTTTAAGGATCGGAGGAATATTAGGTAACATGTATACATGTATTCTAAATGATACCCATACAAAATACATATCACTCTCTCTAAAGCAGACATTTTCAGGTAAAAGTTCACTTCCATTAAATTGGATGATAGTATGAGAAAGGAATAACCTTCACCATTAGACTTTTATATTTTGACACAAATATTTAATAAGATATATATTCTCAAGCCTACAAATGCGCCAAAGAAAACAAAAAGGGAAAGTATCTACATATACAAAAATATTTATAACGTCTATTGTAGCCAAAAAAAAAACCCAAAAAAACAAAACAACAACAACAACAAAAAACACCTGGAAACAAAATGGGTGTCCCTCAACTAGGCACTGAATAAACAAATCATGTAACAGAATCATTTTATCATTAAAAATGATAAATGACAGATTCAGGAAAAACTTGGTATAACAAAACCTGCATTTTCTTGACTCAGCATTCCTGAGTTCCTTGACTTCTTCCTAGTAGAGAAATTCTTTATTTAAGATAAATAGCGGAACAATGAAGAAAATAATCTAGAACATTTTTGTTGTTGCTGTTGTTCAGTAGTCTGACTCTTCACGACCCCATTTGGGGTTTTCTTAGCAAAAATACTGGGGTGCTTTGCCATTTTCTTCAGATGAGGAAACTGAGGTTAACAAGGTTAAAGTAACTTGCCCAGGGTCACAGAGCTACTAAGTGTCTGAGGTTGGATTTGAAAATCAGTCTTCCTGACTCCAGGACTGTTGCTGTATCCACTGCACCACCTAGCTGCCCCTCCAACTCATTTTACAGATGAGGAAACTTGAGGCAAACAGGGCTGGTTACAGGACTTGCCCTGGGTCACACAGCTATTAAGTGTCTAGGCCAGATTTGAGCTCAGGAAGATTCATCTTCCTGACTCTAGGCCCAACACTCCATCCACCGCACCACATAGCTGCCTGCCACCTAGACAATGTAGTACCTTAACTCAGACCTGTACAACTTGGCAGTTGGACCAAAATTAAAATAAGCTAAACTGCTTCAGGCCACAGATAGGTTTTTAGCAGTTCACTTTCCAAGTAAAGGTATAATTAATGATTAAACTATTACTCAAAAACACTTTTTATCAGGACATAGTCCGGAAACTACAATCAGCACACACTTCTTTATGAAGTCACCTTCAGAAAGACTTCCCAGCAGCAGCAATTTCTTTCAAAATTTGAAAACTAACCTTAGTAGCCACCTCATTTTCTGAGTTTACTTTCTTGGAAAACTGCTGTTCCTCACTGAGATTTTTCAACAATTTGGATGCTTTAATTTGTTTTTCATTGGTGTCCAATTTGCTTAAGTCAGTATGTTATAATTCAAAATGGTGATGAAGATTGTATTCCTTCAGAATGGCTATTACTTCTCAGCAAACAAGGCACGATATTTTGTCTCTCGTGCAAGTAAACAAGTATCTATTTGTCCACTCCAGATTAATCACTCTATGTTCTGATTCGATCTTCCATTTCTTTTTATCACCTATTTTACAAAGTCACCCCAAAAACTTTAATGTTAGAACCAAAAAATCTCCACAGCAACTGCTCACATGCCAAAAAATACTGAAATGAATGTCTGACCTTGGAGAGAGCACCAGACACTCATGTAACTTGGAGGGCGGCTGCGCAGCAAGGGAGGGGCAGAAGCCCTCGTGCTGCTGTTGCTCATTGCATAGCGGGCAACAGCTACGTTGGCAAGTGGTTGCACTCACTTTGTTCCTGTTCAATGCCAGTAACAACTGAAAACACAGCGAAAAGATACAACTCTTGCTCCTCTCAGACTAGAGACAGACTGACGATGGTTGGTTGCCATAGGTCATGTGACAAATAGGAGACAGTGAGCAGTGGCAACCTACCAGCCAAGTTTCACGACAGGCACAATAGTGAGTAGTGGAAGGCAGGTTAAGTGGGGCACATGGATAAAACACTCATTTCATCTTTACTTTCTTTCACATCTTCTACATTTTTTGTGGGCTGCCTGAAATCCTTTGCGCAGGCTTGTCATAACAAAATTTGACCACAGTCTCATGCTGACCATGTTGAACTTAGGATAAGAGATATAAATCATCCTGAAAAGAAGAATATATCCATCCATACACATACTATTCCCCAAACTATAATAAGATAGATATATTAAGTATTTCAGAACTTGCCTCTTTCTCAGTGTCTCTAGATATACAAGTCCATTGGTTCTCCTTCACACTGTATGCCCAGAAGTCAGCCAGATCTTGTGTTCCATCCCAGCCACCAAACAAATAAACAGTCTCTATAAATAGAAAAATATGTTGTTTTTTTTTTAAATAAGACAGACATTGTCAAAAGATTACCACCCTCCACTCCTACATTTAGCCAGTAGTTTTGAATACAATATTAGATACCCAAACACAGCTTTGCAGAGCAGATTTTTCAGACTATATTCAGGTCAATTTTTACAAATCGTAACATTTCCAGCAGATCCATCCATATTTATCAGCTTTTTTTTTTTTAAACTCTGTAAGTCTGGATGGCAGTAACATTAGTCCCTAAGAGGTTTTATCTTTTTTTTTGATCTTTAGTTTCCTCTTCTACAAAATAAGGAAACTGAACTGGACAACATTAAAAATCCCTTTGAAGAACTTGGCTTCTAAGGTGCAGCAATAACACATCAAGATAACCATTACTGTGGCAAATTTTACCCCATTTTTTGCCATAGAAAACTTAATAGTGAAAAAAAGTTTTCCAGACTGTCAGATGGTTACAAGAGCTTAGTAGAACTGGAAGGGACCTTAGCTACTATATCTCATAACAAACCTTCAATTAAGAGATGAAGAAACAGAGTTGCAGCCACTTGCCTAAAACTGATTTGGTAAATTTGATTTCAGTTCTGGTTCTCTGACTAAAAATCCAGGGCTCTTTACACTACATAAAGTCACAAATATTTTAGGTAACCTTGGGAATATCAAAAAACATACATCTCTGGTACAGTCAAAAGATGGGGAAACCAAAATCCCTACAGTGACCTGAATTAAGTGTTTGGACACTTCAGATGATCTTAGAAATCACTCCTGGTATCAAAATATTTGTTCTCGGATTAATCTGCCAAGTATATTGACATGTTATGTATTTTATCACACAATTATTTAACTTCTCTGATGCATAGCTGTTTTGTGGAGAGGGGAATGTGTGCGTGCATAGACACAGACACAAACATTCAAGTATGCGTTTTTCAGGGAGGGATGAGAGGTACCAAGAAATATTGATATATCTATACAAAGTTAATTCTTACTAAAGAAAAATTACTTTCCCTTTCCCAAAGTTCTTTCCTGTTTGTAATTTCTGCTTAAGACTTTAAGACTCAGAGAAGGTACCAATCCACATTGGTAAAGGAAGTTCCTTAATGGGAGCTTCCCCAATATCACATAATCGCTAAAAACAAAAAACACCTTTATTATTTTTGCTGTTACTACAATTTCCCCAGCTTCATCAGTTTCTTTTTTTTTGCGGGGGTGGGGCACTCAGTTAAATGACTTGCCCAGGGTCACACAGCTAGTGTTGGAGGCCAGATTTGAACTCAGGTCCTCCTGACTCCAGGGCCAGTGCTCTATTCATTGAACCACCTAGCTGCCCCTTCATCAGGTTTAAAAAAAAAAGTTTTCAATAATGTCTTGTTTCTCACATCATCATAGTTATATCCAATGTCATTTATTTTTCTGTTGCAGAGAGTAATCTCCTATTACAAACAGTATTTTTTAAAAAAAGAAAAAAAAATCAGCACAACTGATTAATGTACTGAAAAAGTTTGAAAATAAGGCAATGTCTAACATATGTCAACTCCTCACCTTCATGAAGGGTGGGTTGGAGATGTCCTCTCACATCTCTCCAATCAAGTCATGCTTGATCTTCATGATTTCAATACATTCACTATTGAATTTTTGGCATTCTTTCCATTTATGTTGCTGTAGTTATTGTACATGTTGTTTACATGGCTCTATTTACATATAGATCTTTTACACCCCAGTAACATTCCATTACATTTATGTTCCACAATTTATTTAGTCATTCCCCAATTAATGGGCATCTTCTTTGTGCCCAAATCTTAGCACAGATAGTGCTGCTATAAAAATTTTGGTGTAAATGGGGACTTTCTTCTTAACTATGGCGTCATATGGACATTTTAGTCACTTTATTTGCATCATTCCAAATTGCTTTCCAAAATGGTTGTATCATTTCACAGCTTTACCAACAATATATTAGTGTGTCTATTCTTTCACAACCCCCTAACATTGACTACTGCTGTCTTTTATCACCTTTGAAAATGTCCAAGTTGTGAGATGAAACTTCAAGGTTGTTTTGATTTGCATTTCTTATTATTAGCAATTTTGAGTATTCTTTCTTGTTGTTGTGAATACTTTGTAATTTTTCTTGATAACTGTTTCTTCACATTCTTTGACCCACTTATCTACTGGGGAATGGCTATTAGTCTTTCATATATACATATATGTATATATAAATAAACTGTTGATAGGTACCAAACTTATTAGAAAAATCTGATACAAAAACTTGCCCATTCAACCATTTCCCTTCTTATCTTAGGTGCACTGATTTTGTCTATGCAAAAGCTTTTGAGTTGCATGTAATTAAAGTCACCTATTTTATCTTCTGTAATTGCCTCTTCTCTTATTTAGTTAAGAATACAGCTCCAAACCAAAGTTGTGAGAGCTATATGATTTACGTCTCTTTGCATTTTAAAAAATCATTTTTAATATTAAGGTCGCGTATCCATTTAGAATGTATTGTGGAATATGGTATAAGGTGCTGGTCTAATTTCTGCCAAAAAGTTTTCCAGTTTTTCTAGTAGTTTCTATCAGATAAGTAGTTTTTTCTTAGTTAATTTATATTTTCCACTTCAGCAAACACTGGTTTCCACTGTTTCTGATTCTCCTTTGTCTAGTGTGTTCCATTTTTTTTTTTAACCAATCAGATGGTTCTGATCACTTTTTTATAATGTAGTTTGAGGTCTAGAAGCGTTATTCCTCATTCATTCCTATCTCTTTTCATCATTTCCCATATATCCTGGATCTTTTGTTTTTCCAAATGAATTTGGTCATTTTATCAAGTTTCTATAAAGCATCCTCAATAATGTGATTGGTATAATGGTAAAAAATGAAGATTAACTTTGGTAGCATTGTCACTTTTATTATATTGACACAACCTAGCTATGAGCTCTGGATATTTCTCCAGCTATTAAAGTTGTTCCTTTTTTCTTTAAGGAGCACTTTGCAACTGAATCTACACAAGCCTTTTTGTTTGTTCGTTTGTTTGTTTGTTTTGGTAGATTGATTCCCAGATATTTTAAGTATTTTGTAGTTATTTGGAATGGGATTCCCCTGTCTTTTTTTATTTTATTCTTGGGTTCTGTTATTATTATATAGAAATGCTGTTGATCTTTGAGGATTCATTTTGTAGCAATATCTCAATACTCTAGTACATAGTCAATTTTTGTAAAAGTTAAATATGGTGCTAAAGAATATGCATTTTTTGTAGTCTTACTTAAAAGACATCATAAGTCTTTTTCAACTCTAGTTTCTCCAGTAATTCTTTCAGTTTCATATTTTCTTTTTTGTTCATCTTTCTTTTTGACTTAATCCAAAACTAAGACAGGGATAAAGAGCAAGTATTCAGGATATGAGAGAAAGCACCCTGGGATTTCCTGATGATTACTAAAAAGGCCTAGGAATTTTAATGGACTGAAAGCCAACATGAGTCAAATTGCTACAACTAGTGAACTCAATCAATAAGCATTTATTACGCACCTACTATGAGTTTGAGATGCCTACATACAGTTGGAAATTTTCAATGAGCAGCTGAAGCTGAATATTCATCCGCTCCAAATATCCAGCCTTTTGTTCTGTTCTCCACATAAAACATTCTTTTCCTGCTTCCCACATTCAACTCTCATCCTGAGCTGCTTTCCACCTCTTCCTCCGGGAAAAGGAATCAGTTCAATATATACTACCAGCACTTTTGAAAATAGTATGGTTCCACTCACCATTCCTGTGACTCACTAGATCAAAATTCCCTTCACTGGCCACTAATTCTCTATACACGTCATATTCCCATACTGGGATGTAAGGTCCTAGAGAGCAAGGACTATTTCACTTTTTAATAACTGAATCTCAGCACCTGACATACTGCCTGATAGGGAAAAGGTACATAACAGACGCTTTTTCAATAATCCATATATCAGTCTGAAAGTCATCTATATAGGGATGATAACCAACCCTCTTGGAGCTTATGAGATCAAGAAAATACATGGAAGGAAATGAACATTTATTAAGTGCCTACTATGTGCCTGGCACTGTCCTAAGCACTGGGGAAGCTAATGCAAGCAAAAAGTCGTCAGTCCCTGCCTTCAAGGAACTTCCATTTTAATGGGGGAAAAACAAACAAAAGGAAGCTGAAGGAGGTCAAGGGAAAATGATGTTTTTGAGGTCCAGCAAGTCAGGAACAAGGCCAGGAGCAGAACAAAGGCAGGCCAGCCTTGGCTCGTCCACAAAATGAAGCCTCCAACAAGAACTCCCCAGTTGAAAAGAGGAGCAGGCCTTACAGAGAGATGAGGGTGAAGAGGCTCCAGGCACGGAGAGAAATTCCAGGATGAGCCAGAACTTGAGGAGGCATGATTTTGAAATCCAAAGAAAGTCAGGCTTACTGAGTTTTATCTTCTTTATTTGTAAAAAATGAGGGTGTTGAATTAGATGATCTCTAACATATCTTCTATTTCTACTATTCTAAAACACTTCTATATTCCACAGGTATCCTAACCAATTTTCTCAATAAGAAAGACTTATCACACTCACCACCTGCACATAGATATTTTACATTGCCCAGATTTCAACTAACATAACTTTATATTCTTATTCCTCTGGATACCTTTATCAAGTGTCCTTGACCAGTGGAGGTAAGAAAGCTTAACAATAAGAAATGGCAATGGTCATCATAGATAAATTTTTAATGGACAAGTATTATCAGCTTTTCTCAAATGTTTTTGAAATGTCTACCTAGAATATAAATCCAGTGGGTAGGAACTGTTTAATTCTTTAATTTTTTTTTTTATTTTAGGCAATTGGGATTAAGTGACTTGCCCAGGGTCACACAACTAGTAAGTGTCACGTATTTGGTCTGAGGCCCGTTGAACTCAGGTCCTCCTGACTCCAGGGCTGGTGCTCTATCCACTGTGCCACCTAGCTGCCCCTGTGTTTAATTCTATATCAAATACTGAACCTAGAA